CCGGCATTAAAGAACCCAGATTTTCTTCCCAACATTGTTATGACTCTGCAACACAAACAACAGACCTTCCACAGAGTCACACATACACACAGATGGAGCACTCAGCCCTCTGTAGTACAACCACGAACAACTAAAACTCTCAAATGTAGTTTTAACCAGGATTTTATACTAAATCATTAAAGCTGTATGTTGACATTTATTTGTCTGGCAGTGATAGGATTTCCCCATCGCTGATATCACATTGATAATGTGCATAGAAGCGTACATTATGAGAAGTTATATCCTCAGTCACACTTCTAGAGGTCCAGACAGCAGGTGGACCAAAACCCTATAAATGTTCCAACCTGAGTTTAAAAAAAATAGAAGAAACAAAAGCAAACATGTGAGTTGATGAGCTCTTCTAATTTAGACGTATTCAGGACCAGGATCTGGCTCTTTCATCACCTCCATGAACTTAACATAACTTCATCAGAACCTTGTCTTGCTCAAACCCAACTCTGCAACATGGTTAGAAGACTCCGACTAGACAACACTAATCCTTAACTGGGAACTCATAAAGACGTTTTGTGCCTCTTGTTTGACTTTTACTACATCTGGGGGTAACTGTTGTTTTATATGCTTATTTATTATTATATGCTTATTCATTATTATTCCTATTGACCTTAGATGTGCTTCCATCTCAGGCACTTGACCTCAAACAAGATATTAGCGCGACTTGTTTCCATAAAATAATATTGTCTTTAGTGATAATAAGTATCATAACTCTGACCTCTCTTGTTTTGCCACTATTATTGCACGTTTTGCTGGACAAATAATTCTATGAGTCATGTACCACATCTTTCACAATTTTCCCCAAGAATCATGATGCCATTTGAGCATCACAAATTCCTAAATTTATTCTGGCTCTAGATTTAGTGACAGCTGTGGGATGAGAAAACCGAACCAACCATGATCCTCTGTTTTCTGTCCAGTTGAGCTGGGTGCCAGTAAAGTGAACAGGGAATAAGGGTAATAAAAAGGAATCTATAAAAATAATTAGTAACAGTGTTAGCTGACAAGCCTGTGTTAAGTTGTATTTGGTTACAGCTTCACAACCGCAGTTCTCACTTTAGATTTTAAAAATCACATATGCAATATGTAAGAAAACACCAGTAAGAATGATGACACTGCACAGTTGTTGGCCTATATCTGTCTGAAACAAAATATTTGATAAAAAGATAACATGAGAAAAAAAGCATGCTTTTTAGAGCTTTCTTGACAATTGACATTTGTTTTATAGCTGCTCTGAGGAACTTCTCTCCAGACTGTTCTTCATCATGCTCTTTAAATAAAAGGATACAACTAAAGTACAGGCAGATAAACATTGAAGGTGCTGAACAAACGACAAAGCTTTCTGTCCCCCTCTCCCTTTGCTTCCCTCTCTCATTTCCTCTGCTGGAGTTTTCTGATGACGCCTCTTGCTGTGTTCAGAAAATCATGTCTTCATGCCAGCTTCTCATATCAGCTCATTAGTGAGATGATTAAAAACATTAAAAAAAACAAAAACAAAACAAAATTTAAAAAACACATAGATCTATCCCTTCATCCCTAACGTACCCTGCACATGGTTTGTTTGTTAAAGTTGGCACCGTGTTTTTTTTTTAATTATGTGATTATTTAATTCCTTCTGAACAAGGTTTTATGAGACAAGCAACAACAGAGGCTGAGCTTTCAATTCTTCTTCACCAGCTTTATTAGTTTAGTTATGTTCGTTTGGCCTTCAGTTCACATTTCACATTAATGAAACAGAGGGAAGACACAACAGGGAGGTTGGAAGAAGGATAGCAGTTATAGATGAGGGTGTATTTGAATTATTGTGCACATGTCTATGTAAATGTTAGTGTACATATATGGGCAGATTTATGGCTCTGTTGTTCTGTCTATTGATTTGTTAAATTTGTGTTTTTGTCTTTGCAGAACCCACAAGATAGACAACCGTTAGAACATGTGTCTTCTAGTCCATTCAGTTTAGTTTACTGACTGAAAGACAGAAAAACAACAATGTTCAAAAATGTATCTGCATTTAAGCCTGTAGGTGTGAATGTGTTTGAATCCATGCTCCACAGAAGGTGGTGGGTGTTGGATGGATGAGGTCGATGTATTAATCAGAGTCTGTGTGGCTCCATAGGAGCAGTTTGAGGGATTTTGCTTTGCTGAGCAGCTTCTTGTCTCTGACCTCAGGCTCAGTCCTGCCATAACTCTCCTCATTACAGCCTTAATGGGCCAATCAGCACCATGCGAGGCCAAAGGCATGATGCTCCTTTTCTCAGCTTTACAAGCATGCGTCTGTAATCCTTCTCTTCTTTTTGCTTGTTTATACTTTCTCTCTGATATTCTGTTGTTTTCTGTGTTTTTTCCACCACGTCAGTGTCTACTGGATGTCTATATGAGGGAGTCATACTGTTTGTGCATTGCTGGACCTGCTGAGCACATCTTGTACCTGTCAGTCAGCGACAGTTTGTGTATGCACAGTATTCAATTCAATTCAATTCATTCAATTTTACTTGTATAGCGCAGTTTATGACATGTGTCATCACATAGCCATAAACATAGTAAGGTATAGACCTTAAAAATTTCAACAGTGACCAGTATGATGGTGGCATTTTTCCATGCATGTTGTGTGTAACTGTTAGCAACTATATCTAATCTAACTAAATCTAATCTGTATGTTGTAGTTTCTGTGTGCATTGAAACCATGTTTTTTTTTTAATCTGCATGTGTGATTGCCATAATCTCAGATTTAAGAAACACAATGGCCCAATGCAAACCTTTGAAAACCCTTGGATTTTGGGGGGAAAAAAAGAAGAAAAGATGATTGCTTTGAAGGCAGCTTTTCTCAATTTCTAACTTAATTTTCCTCTATAAGGAGAGAATGCATAGCTAAATGTACACGACATACTCACATTACTCACAGCCGTGTTTGTCATTTTGGCCAGTAACCAAAATCAAAGGTAATTTATCTCCACTGATGTCTGTGTGCGCAAATGCAATACTGAAGCTGAGTCACACACAAGTCACACAGAAGTTGACATTGCAGCCTTAGCTGTTTAAGCAAAACTGTATCACATATGAAGGGAAACTCTGGCTGTTGGTTCTCCTTTACCTGCAGTGTGACCACAGCACATACCAGCAGCCTATTTCACGAGCTGATTGTAAGATTTATTGTGTCAGTGTAAAATCATCATAACCAGTTAGCTGGACAATCACTCTCACACTTTAATCAGTTGCACCATCTGTTCTCATGCAGAACTTAGCTCAGATGACTGTAATCAAAACCCTGTCACAGAGAGTGACGTTTCATGTGTGCGTCAGTCTGATGATATGGGCGAGGAAAGCACTGCCAATTAGTGAAGAAAGTAAAAGACTAACAACAAGCTCGTTTGGCTGTACTTTGTTTAGCTGTGATGTTTCTGACAAAGCTGAAGATGACTGTAACACACAGAACAGTGATGATTAATACCTGCCATATATCAACATTCCTTCCATCATGATTTAAAAATCCTGCTCAGACTAATTATTTTACATGCAGGTTTCTTTCACAAGATTCAAGATTTTTTTTATTGTCATTATACACATGTGTACAACGACATTACGGTGCGCAGTCAAGACACGGGCTCATAAAAAAAGAGAATACATAGAATACATAACTAAAACAATGTACATCACTCACACAACAACATCCAATCATTGATTCACACAACACTCTAAAACATCACACACTCACATCAGCACCAAATGTACCCAGGCCAATACAATGGGACAGTCAAATCATAAGCAATCGAGTGACATAAGCTTCAGTTTGCACTCCAGCTGCCTTAATCTATGTTGTACCTTTGTATTTTCCAACTGACAGACAGTGCTTTACGTATATTGGATTTTCTTTGCCTAATCCCCTCTAAATCAATGTACTAATAAGATGTGTACTGCTTAACAAAGTTTACCAACCACCAATTCAACTGGCATGTGAAAGCTCAACATGAGACAGATTATGTTTGCAGCGTTAGGTTTTAACACTGTTTTTTTTTTTTTCATTAATTATAGTCAGATCTGTGGCTGCAAGGTCATTAACAATGTGGCAGGAATGTGTGAGTTTGTGTGTGTGTCTTTATTTTGGGTGAAATGGTGCTAAATGTTCATTGAAAGTGAGCTGGAGAGGATCAATAACGGTGATGGGAGTCGAGCCAACAAGCACATCATCCTAATCACCTTAAGACGACACTGACTCACAGTCCTGCCATTAACTGTGTGTGTTACAGTCAGCAGATGTATATGCAGGTGTCAGCACGTGTTTATTTATTCATTATTCATCAAAAACCTTCGATTCAACACCTACACGCCTTCCTCTCATGCGCTGTTCGAGGCTAAGTTTACAGGATGAAGCGTGGGAATCGGGAACATCTTGGCACATTTTCAACAGAGTGAACAGGTACAGGATGTGGCAGCGTGTTTGAAACTCTACTAGGTGAGTGAATTCTAATCCGGCTGCAGGCGGCTGCCAGCAAAGGAAGGGTAAAAGGTTAGGAAGGCCATTAAAGCTACTTTCTGGATTAGAATTCAACCTCAGTACACAAGAATATGTTCCAAGGAAAGTGATAGTCCAAGCCAAAAAAGTGATGGTGTTTTTTTATTTTTTATTTTTAAAAAGAAGCCTTCTCTGGAACATCATTAATCAGTGGATTTATGGTTTTAAAATGCAAAAGAAAAAATGCAAACACAATCTGTAAATCACGGAGTGACCTTCAGGAACTATTGCCTGGAGGGATTTACCATTGACTCTGACAGATGTGCTGGTGTCTATGTGTGACAAAATAACCTCATGGACCTCCGTACTTGCTTTACAGGACTATTTTAACCTCCACACTCAAATATTAGGGGTTTGTTTTGAACAAATTTTAAATGCAACAGATGATGCTTCTATTTAACATACATAAATCAGATCTTTTCTCCCTTCTTTTCCTCAGGATCCTTGCAAGGGGAGCACCAGAGGAGGCTGTACAAGGAGCTGATGGCTAACTACAATCGATTAGAGAGACCTGTGGTCAATGACTCAGCTGCCATCCTGGTGGAGCTGGGCCTCACGCTGCTGCAGATCATTGATGTGGTGAGGAAACTGCATCTATTTTCATTCGTTGTGTGTGCGGCATGGTGTCAAGTTAGGGCCGCATGAAATCAAAGAATGGTTGCAAGATAGGAAGAAAAGAAACATGCCAATTATCATCGTTTTGACTGTAAATTATTGAACAGTTGAAGCTGTTTTACCAATTTTAGATGTGGTGAAATTGCAGAATAGAGTTAATAAGAATTACAAGAATAACCCTGTTCCATCCCCAACAAAATAGATTAAAACTGTAAATTATATCTACACAAAATGTTCGTGTTTTCACAGATAAAAAGCAACATGTCATGTGGCATTTTGTGACTGTAAAAGGATTTCATGAGCACAATTGAATGGGCTCATGTGATTGTGATTTCCCAGGTATTTGCTGTTATTTATTTTTTACAGCTACATTAAAATGTATTATTTAAAAGTTGTTTAGATATGACAGTTTAATGGGAACCGGAGTCTTTTTTTAAATATAGCTTTCAAGTATTTAGCTGAGTATCACATTCATGGGGACTTGATGGGCACATGGTATCAGCTATAAAAGTGGCTTTACGTTTCACAACACAATCAATCAGTTCAGCACAAGCAAAGAGTTTATATCCAAGTGAATCACAGTGGTGTATTGGCTGGATACATATTCCTATGTGTAGGAATTGTAACGTATAATGACGAAATGTGAAGTGAAGAATTCAACAAAAAGTGTGTTTGACAAAGTAAAACAACAGTAGAATTGTGGCAGGTTAATAATGTGCGGTGCCAGTCATAGTTAAGTATGATAAATAAAAAAAAATGAACAAAAGAATCAAATTGTCAAACCATACAAAACTAGGCAAGTGACCAGACTGTAAATGAATTCAAGCACACAAACAAAACAAAAATGCTCAAACAAGCAGATAGACCACAGCTAAATTCAGCATATAAAAAGTGTATTTCTAAAAACAAACCAGCAAGCAATGAGAATTAATGGTATGTGTCTGCAGAGCTGGAGGACTGCACTTCTAGGGCTGCATGCTTAGAGGCTTTTTTTTTAAGATTACGCCACCTACCGCAATGAATAACGACTTACAGTTTTAAAGAATAATTTCACTCAAATTATACTTATAATTTAAAAGAGGAGTATTCCACACAAAGGTTTATTTCACGCAAATTACTACTTATCACAATATTGATAATAATAACCTGATTGCAAAGACCGGCATTTGGACATATTGTGTAGTTTGCATACTTCTGTCATTATGAGGGAAAATATGAACAGAATTATCTGCTATGGTCTTTGCGGTCTCTAAATCCAAACAGGACGGTTCGAAAGGTTGGAAAGAGGCAACACACAAGATCAACTCTGTATATATACCATAACTCAACAACAGCTGTTACTTCCTTTGGTGCACCACGGGTCCTAGAAGTCTTGAAAGTGCAGCCTCCAGGTCTGCAGACACACCCTACTCATGGGTGAATATGTGTGTTTCAACTGTGAGTCCAATCCAGTCAGGTAAATATCCGCCTCGGTTTCCCATCAGAGTTCAGTTCAGTCCAGTTTGTTCCAAGCACAACTCAAATCGCAATTCAAAAATCCACTCTGGGTTTTACTACAGATCTTACAACACTAAAACCAAAACAGGAAATCAAATATTCAACAACCCAAACAGCGTTTCCCAGCGAAGTGCAACAACTCAACACATTATTTGCACTGTGTACTCACAGTGCCACGGACCAGTCAGTCAAATAAAAGGTCCACTGATTCTGGCAACCCTTGGGAAACTCCAGCAGTGAAATATACAATCCACATCCATTGCTGCTGCTGACACTGATGGCAAAAGAGGCTCCTTTTTGATCCTGAACGGCTACAATAATGCAGATTTTTACATGCAATTAAGGGTAAAGTTGACAATCTTCTGCTCCACTAACCCAAACACTGGCCTCTCTAAAACTCACACTCATAGGTTTTCCTGGAGGTTGCTTTCAAACTGTGCGGGCTATGTGGAAAGCTAGGATTGGATAATTGGATGATTGTGGGTGGAAACTGAGACAAGTCTGAATGAATGTGGGTGGTGACTCTGACAGCGGTCGCTACAGAGTATTTTCACTGCAAACAGAGCAGTAGTACTGAATATGCGATATTGTTTTCACATTACATTTGGCTATTTTATTTATTTTTTGTTGATAGCTACCATCAGCTATTTTAAGTATGCGTGTATGTTTGATCCTGTGGGTATATGAAATAAGTGATGCATCCTGCAGCAGGTTCGTTTTCATAAAACTGTTAAATGGTGGCACAAGTGAAGCACTTCTGCTGTTTGACTTCTGTTACATAAAGACCAACTGTACTGGGACACACTGTAATAAATACTGTCATCATCTCACACACGAGGGAACACTCTGAAATCTTTACATATTGTTCTTTAGTGCTATTGGGTTGACTTTGTGTCCTTGTCTGCAACCTTACCTAAACTGACACCTTGAAGACTTGATTCCTTCCTCTCTAATGTTTCTGTATGAATCCAGCCTTTTCTCATGCGTGTCTCCTTGCAGCTCCACTGAGGCAGTTTGAGGTTAAGTGTTTTGCTTGGCAAGAGCAGCTGCTGTGGGAGCTTATTTACTTCCCTCGTGCATATTTTTGCAAGTTGTCTAGACTGTAGATAAGAGATGTCAAACTTCCAACAAAAGCTGCTGTGCTGATAGTGTTTTTGTGTTTATGGGAGGTTGATACACCTGACACTGTTATTCATGAAATGAATGATTGAACTATGATTCCTTCCTCTGTCCTCCAGCAACCCAAAAATCACTCCAGGTCTACTGACTTTAATGACCTTTCAAATTGTAAAATATCTTTTCAGAGAAGCAGGCGGCTTACTCATTAACCTCCAGAGAGTATCAAAGACTTCAGAGGCACTATGCAGGCTGTAAGTACATTTGTCAGGCGGCTCGTCCACAGAGAGGAGACCTTTTAGGGTTGTGTTAGCATGTGAAATGCTCTGAGTATTATACCAGCCAGATGTCTGCTCTCATTTGTCAGGACAGACACACACACACACAATTTGTGTTCCTCTCACAGGAGCTTCATGCTTTTCATAGAGGGGTAATTTTTGGATTGTTTGTCTGTGTTCCTGGTAGTTGTCTCATCTGTCTGAGAATGGGGGCTCGATGCATGTTTTACCCAGATGCTCTTAAGCTTCTGCAGTTGTGATTTAGAAACTGGGGTTATGTGGTCATTGATTCTGATTCAGATTCTGATTACACTGTATGAGGAGGATGTTTGCACATCCCCTGAATGACTGTGAAAATATGGTCGCAATTAAAATGAAAGAATTTTACTGTTTTCTCCGAGTCTTTGAGCCCTAAAGCCTATTTCCAGATTCAGTCGAGCCTGAAGTTTAGATGCTTATAAAGGATAAACTCTTGTAGTGGATGAATCTAATGGTTTGTGGAAAACAGCAGCGATGCTCATTCACCCTACTAGAAGGACTGAGTTTCAGTTAAAACTACATGTTTCGATCCACTTAATCTTTCAGCCCGTGAAGAAATTATTCCCTGGAGCTTCCAGACTAATTTGCTGCTCAAGATTAGCAGGTGATGATATTTTTTCATCAACAAAATAGTCATAAAAAAAAAAAGATATTGGGTATGTGGGATTGATTTGGATAGTGTAACAGTAATTGATGTGCTGAGACCCAGAGGTGTGCTAGTACACTGCAAGTTTATTGTTCACAAGAACCCCGGTGCTCATTCAGCTGATTTATTCATCAGATTTAGAGTAAACTGCGTTGACTGACAGGTACTTGCTTGTTTCTAGGTCGGGTACTCGGTGTCTCTAGGCAATTTTGTGTATACAGAGACTCACAGGAATACACAGACATTGTAAGAGGCAGACGTCTGTGCACAAATATTTGTACAGTGAAACAGGAGCAGTGTTTGGAAAGAGGTGTGTGCAGGTCATTCACTTGCATAGAACAGTAGATAAAGAGCAACTTGGGAAACAGTCTGCATGTTACAGAGATAAACATTCATTTGTCTATATTTGATTTCCTACAGAGGGGGGCTGCATTAATGCATTTCAGTTTTATTTTACCTTTAGTTGCAATCAACCCAATTCAAGCACATATAACTGATATTCACAGGAGCAGTTTTGGATACAAAGGTTTCCTCTTTTCCAGGTTTTGGATGCTTGATGGACTAGTTGACATCACAAGAGATGATTGACAGGTGCTCTCCAACATTAAACCAGTGCAGGCTGCACCCTACAACTGTGCATACACACTGTACCTGATTGCATAAAAACTTCACTCATGGGCTGTCTGCTCCCTGATGTCAAACCACAAGTTGTTTGGAAATGTTCTCTAACATTTCAAAAATATTGTATCAGAATGTCTTTCGGAAAAGATTCATTTCAGATAGAAAACTTTCACTTTAAAAGTTTTAGGCAATTTCAAGGGATGGCAAGAGTCTGTGGATGCCTCTGATTTGCGCAAAGTAACGTAGACCTGGATTTTATCCCAATGAACTTCATGCAACGTGACGCGCTGCCTCTTCTTATGCACCGCAATTCTACAAGAATACAATGCAGAACTTCTTACACATTGAATGAATAGGAAACATGGAAATGACAGATTCTGTGGACATATAACATACAGTAGCTCCTCTTCATAACCTATGGCTGCTTGGTTGGCTGCCTCTGAGATTTTGAGTTGTGCTTGACCTCTGGCTACCAACCCTTTCCACCTACATTGTTCAGCATCTTACCCAACTCTGCATTTTAACTGCTTCTAATAACATGTTTCACAAACCACATCTTCCCAAGATACAGTAAGTTAAACAACTTCTGTGCTTTGTAGACCGCTAGAGAATAGGACCATGTCTGGTTATATCAGGATTTAAAGCCATCTTCCAATCTTGAGGGGAACTCAGCATATTTTCCTGCATTACTGTCTGGTTCTTCTATATGATGAATCTTCCAGTTGGGAGAGGATACATCCAAATCTATAAATCCAAAGTGGATGCCATTTCAGGACATGATTGTGCTCTTTTCTGAGGATTCTTTTGCAGGATAGGTAGATGTGTTTGCTGTTGTAGAGAAGCTGGTCTTCACCACTGGTTCAGATTTGTGGTGGATGGGAGAACATCCTCGACAGCTCTCACGAGAAAGCTATTTATTTCCAATCCCATCACTTTCAGAAGCTGATTTTCCTGTTCGTTGTCCTTGTCCGCTGTCTTTCTTTTGACTGAGACACTGCTTTGGAATAAATCATGATATTTTCTTGTAACTTCAGTTCTTCCACCAGTAACGGCCGCTTTTTCTCAATGTGTTCCTATACACCAGTACTTGGACCTTCTTGTCCATACAGAACCAGCTCAATATTATGCAGCTTTTACCTGCTGAAAGGCTTCATCTGGACATCATTTCTTGAGTCATTTCAGAGAGAGGCAGTTCCAGGTTTCCTTTGTTCTACAAATAGATGCTGTTTAGAGATCTTGGCAGTCTCTGACACCTTTTAATAAAGGAATTGACCATGCTCTCCAGTGTTTCAACTTGAGTGATGGGAACTTCGAAAGCTATCACTTTTCACAACACTTGAGGGAAAGGTTTAGTTGATGGTCTTAAAGACCTTGGTTTGACATCTGCATCATTATAACATCCCAAGCTCTTAACTGGGGCTTTAAATAAAGTAGGAATTGATTTACTGTGTACACTGAACATCTGGTCTACTAGCCTTCCCTTTACTGTAGAAATGCTGCTGAACTTGCCTGCTTGACCTTTATATGGGTTCATTTGAGGCTTAAATGTAGCTTTTTGAGCAAAATATACCATTTACTCCAGAAAAAAACACCTTCTGGATCATTTTATGTTATATGCTTACCTTAATGTATAAATAGATCCTGTGAGAACTGGATTTCTATCACATACACCAGTCACACACTCAACATGAATAGCCTTATCCATGCTAAAGCCTAATGTATGAACATTACTATAATATACAGTACAAGAGTTACAAGCTTGGCCTTTAAATGGGACAATGATGGGCCATAAAACATTTTTATTTCCATTAGATTTAGAAAGGGTAAAGCTTCTTGTCAGTCTCTCTATTGTGTATGTGTTCACTGTGCTGGAGACATTCTGGTGTTCTGACCTTGAGCAGGTGAACGGAGTTCATATTTCCAAGTGATGTATTTTACATGACCCACAATGTTGTTTTTATCATTTCATTGAATTGCTGATTTCCACACACACAAACCACTGTGGGATTTAAAATCTCTGGAGAGACACACATTTCCAATCAATACTTTCAGCTGTGGCTTTTGCTCTATCATCTGGGTCATGTGTTCCCAGAAAGTAAATTATAGAAAGGTTTGTCATATGTGCCCAACTCAGAAAAAGGTCTTAAACAGAGACACAGAGAAATGGATATATAGATGCAGTGTGTTGAAAAAGGGGTCACTTCTTTGATCCCATGCAGCGCTCCTCTCCTCTTCTTTTAATCAAAGAATCCACACAGGCTTCCCTGACTTGTTCATCTGTACTGGGAGCAGAAATTCTGATGCTTGCAGAAATGCTAATTTTACCCTGTAGCTGGAATATGAGCAACATCGTTTTACGAATGCTCTATATACACTACGAAAAAGTTCTGAAGTTCATTATTTGGTAAAGACATAAGCTTTGGTCAGCAGTTTGAACAGTGATGCTTTTGTAACAATGCACAATGATTATTTATGTGTAGAAATGAACACTCATTCTCTTACTGAGTTTGTTTCCATCCAAATGTGTTAAGAAAAGACTGTGATGTTTAATGAATTAGACAATTCAAGGGTCCGTACTTTACTGTCATTCAACAAAGCTAATAGAACTTTGGTTTTGTGAGTCACACAAAACAAAAACAGGGGAAAAAAAAGAGAAGAAAAACAGCAGCAAACCACAAGAAAACACCAGTTTGCAGAGCAATGCTGTTGTGCACTGACACAGAAGCACAACTCATTGTGTTCATTGATGTGTTTCACATGTGTGCTTTTAAGATAATGCATGCCTGTGTTGCATGTTTACTGCCTATATGCACGTGAGAATACATCTTAATGAAATCAATAAATAAATATAGATGAACCTGTTCAGATCTGGTTATTCTGCCTCAGTGAGTTGAGAAAGCACACACACACACACGATAAGAGCCCCCCTTTGTGGTGTTCTGTGTACTTGATTTGGGTTGTATTATATTGTCTTACTCCTATATGAGCCAGCATAATATTGTGCAGTTCATCATGAGTGTTAAAGCCCACTAGGATATACAGTATTTTAACTGTTTTTAAGGGGTTTAGCAGTCTGTCAAATGGTCCCTGTGAGGCCCTTCATTAGAGCTGCACTTGGTTACATAGAACCAGCTTCTACACAGGCTGGTTTGTTCTTCTTTGGAAATGCAAAACAACTGCGCTGACTTGCTGATGACAAAGACCTTTTCCACTTTGTTAGATACTAATCGCTTTTGTTGTCTCCTCTTAGGCAAAAGAAAAAACTTATTTCCTCTTCTTTTTTGTCCTCAGGATGAGAAGAACCAAGTGCTGATGACCAACGCCTGGCTGCAGCTGGTGAGTCAAAGTTTTAGAAAAGCACATTATCACCATTTTAATGTGCTTTAATTATATTTATAATTTTATTACACAATTATCTTTGAAAGGCTGCGACTGTGTTGCTCAAATTACGAGTGCCACAACATTAAGTGCATGCTGATGAGATTGAATTTTAACTGTGCACATCCAGAGAAACTATTTATTTTGGAGTTCATTCTTTAAACTTAGAAGCACTGTTTATAATTCAAATTTTACTCTCCATCCTGCAAGCTTGTGAATCCCATCTGGCACATTTTCAATGCCTATTTTAATATCCTCAAGACTGGAATGTGACCACACATGTATGGATGAGTGAGAATGAGAGAATGCGTGGTGACCTTCTGGTGGAAAGCTAGGGTGCATAATAAATGGGAAAAAAATGCCGTCAGTTGCTGAGTCCCTGGTTCGACTTCTGGTTGGCCTTTGCCGCATATCATTCCCATCCTCTCTTTCCCACCTATACTTGTCTAACTCTAATGCAACTGTCCAATAATGTCAAAAAACCCTTTAAAAAAAAGAGAGACAGCATTTTCGTGTGCTGGCATCAGCATCCTCAAGATTTCCATTCAGGCAGTTTGTCAGGCCGAAAGCAAGAGAAGGACAGGAGGGAAAAGGAGTGAGCAAGAGTGCTGCATATTTAAGAAGCAGTCAACTTGACTACTAACAGACTTAATGGCAAAGGGTAAAAGACACAGACTGATTTATAGCCTCGACACCAATTAGTCTGTGCATCAGTTATAGGTTTTTTTCTAAAGCGACACCATTTGCATGGTGCTCAGCTGATACTTTAGGAAGTCTACATTGCTCTAAATAAATAGACGAGTTTTCAAGAAGCAGAGAGAAGAGCCATTGCTGGCTTTATCCAAGAGTGTTCCCATTTTAAGGTCTTTTCGTTCCAACGAAAGCTGCATCAACAGCGGCTATCTTACTTTGATTATAGCTTGTTTTTTTTTTAACATGATCATAGACTGCTAGGTTTTTGAAGGCATTTGGTAATGTCTTGGTGGTTAGAAACATTCAGGAAAAGCCTGTCTTTCCCTCCTGGATAACCTCAGAACTGCCATGTAATTTTGAAAACTGTAATGCGACTAGAATCATTTACCTCTGCACTTGCTTGTGAAAGTTCACTTTGATTATAGTCTTTGGAAGGTGCAGGTTTTGCAGAGTTATTCCACCCATTGATGAAATGCCACATCATCTCAAAGTCTGAAAATGTCTCTCTTTTCTTCTCAGTACTGGACAGACATCTACTTGAGCTGGAATCCAGAACACTACCCCGGAGTCCAGAACCTTCGATTCCCTTCAGACCAGATCTGGACGCCTGACATCCTCCTTTACAACAGGTCAGAGCTGCCTCCTCCTGCCCATCACAGCCCAAACAGAAAAGTTTATGACCTTTATGCTTTCTTTTGAAATGTTTCTTTCTCTATATCTTGCGTTGATAAGATATGTGTTGCATTCTGACATTGTCAGTCCTCTGGAGCAAATAAACACACCTGTCAGAGACATCTTCTCCTGCAATATTTATTTTTGACAAGAGTGAATGTAATATCAGTATAATCCTTTTAGTTTGCCTCTATTTTTTTTTTCATTAAATCCAATCTTTAATCTCCTCAAACCAATATAAGGTATCAGGGTGAGTTTAAGCCAATGTGATAAACAATCACTCAGAGTCAAATGCAAAGTCGTGACACAGACAACTGCAGGATACTGTCGTTTTAAAAACTTTACAAATTGAAAACGTTACACTGTAAAATGTGAAAAGTTGATCTTACTTAAACAAATGTAGTAAAGTGGTTGCACTCAAAAAAGGTAAGTAAATATAACTATTAGTCTTACATTCAGTTTACTTCATATCTACTTGTAAAGTTTACCTAAAATTTAGCTGTATTTACTTAATTTTGTGAACTTAAAAATTGCAAGTATAATGAACATGATCTTTCCAAAGGTTAGAAACTTAAATAATAATAATAACAATAGCAATTGATCAGATTTATATAGCGCTTTTCAAGACACTCAAAGACGCTTTACACTGTCAATTATTCATTCACACACATTCATTCCAGTGGTGGTAGCTACGATTGTAGCCACAGCTGCCCTGGGGCAGACTGACAGAGGCTACCATTCTGCCCCTCCGACCACCACCTCAACAATCCATTCATACACATTCATCCTAGAGGTGGTAAGCTACGTATTCAAGTATTATTTAAGTGTCTTGCCCAAAGACACACTGACCATGACACAGGTTACAGGGCGGAATTGAACCGCCGACTTTCCGATACGCGCTACCACCTGAGCCACAGCCGCCTCCTAAAGTTTCTGGAAACTTCTCCCGCACTTTTCTACTGCACATGTGCACTGCTGAGCAGTGTGTTCAGTCCAGGACCAGAACGTTTCAAGTCCAGTTTACTCAAGTGCACTTAGTTTTATTACCCCTTACGTAAAAATGAGTACATACTCACAGTCCATGAGTTAAATGAACAGGACAATGAGAAATACGTAAAGTACACTAATGTGATTCAAGTAAGCATAAGATAGCATAGCATTACCTTTTAGAGTGTAGAAATGATTTTACACTCCTTTCATCGTCATCCATAAACCGTACCTCAAATGTCTCAACTCAGAACTTAATTCTCAAAATGTAGATTAGTGGAAATCTGACATGGAGAATCAGTGAGATACATGAAAGCTGATAAAGAGCCGTTCATGTCAGAGTGCTTTTAGTGGGTTTTTTTCTCCTCACATTAAAGCAAAAATAATAAATGACGGAAACATACAGTAATAGCTGAGGTCAAAGTTCTTACTTTTCATAAATGAGCTTGAGCGAGCTCGCTGCATGTTGTGATTCAGGTCAGGCTGGTGCTGTTTGCTTCTGTGCGAGGTTTTCTCAGGTCAATTAGAGATGTAGGCCAGTAGTTTTTTTCCCCCCTAAACAACTAATTGCATGGTGCTTGCATGTTCGAGTGAGAGATGGATATTCACAGACTGAAGGGAAAGAAAGATGAAGAAACAATAAATTCAGTCATTAGGAGAAAGGCAATGACACAAGTCCACTGCCACTGAACACTGTAAGTCAAATTAGACTGACTTGAGCACCTAAGGTAAAGCTAGAGGAGATTTTTCAGTTGGTCTTCACTGATGTTCTTGCCTGGATGCAGTGAGGAGCCTCAGATGTTTTTCATCACGACTGCATTTCCCTGCAGGACACACACAAACACACACTAACACTCCAACACATCACATGGAGCACGAGGACAAAACAAAGGTTTCGGAGTATTAACCCAAATTTTTTAAAAGCTCAGCTTTTAGACCTGCCGGGATTACCCAGCCTAATCTCTGTGCTCTCACCCATCTCTTTCCCCACGTCTGCCTTTTACCCTGCGCCTCCTCCCCTCTCCTCACCCTCCATCCTGCCTTACCATCTCTCTTTTCATCTCATTCTATTTGCGTCTCCCGCCACCCCTCTTTCATAACTCACTGTCTCACTATAATTCACTCTATTCAATCAACTCTGCCCCTCCATATTTTATCATTCCGAGCCTTCACCAACTCCCCTTTATAAATCACTCCATCTACCTGTCTCTGTCTGTCGAAGTGTCAGCATGTTTCTGTCACCCTTTTCTCCCAGTCTACCTGTATTTTTTTTTTTCTTGACTGGCTTCTCTTGCAAGAAGGAAAACAACAACAACCCAGTCTCATAAAAAAAGACACTTTCAGAAATTTGCTTTTCCGGAACTTTTGTTTATGTTCGTTGCAATTTTTAAAGGTCCAGAATGTGAACCAGAAAGTGACGACTGCACAGACGACATGAGGAAGGTTGTCCATACAGAACACAGGACTTGGATTAGACTTCTAAAAAAGATTAGGATTATGCAGCTGTTTGACATTTAGCAGGTGTGTTTGCCTTCTTAGTTTAGTGTATTTGCATGCTGATACATTTACAAATTAGTACATGAGGCTGAAAAGAATGACTTGTTTTGTTATGTTGTTTTTTTAGTCATCAACCAACAGATTGGGTAAATTACTTTGGAATTAGGAGATAAAAAGAAGGGTCACCAAAGTCATTACAGTCCAGTCAGTGAGAAACATTCACATCTTTGTATATATAAAAAAAAAAACTTAACAAAAGCAAACTTGGTGCGATTCTATCTTGTAGATTTTCTTATATTTCACTGGATAAGTGACAACTTGGCAACAGGAATCGATGAAACTCATGGGCAAGTAATGCTATTATGGCTGTTCGTACAATCATAAATTATTAAACAATCTAAGCAATAGTTTCTACGATTTTTTTGTTTTTACAAAAAGAATCGACTGCCCTGCAGATTGCCATCCCTGGAGAATAATCAGCACATTGCGGCTTGTTTTTTAATATTTAAACATTACCACAAGCTTTTGCTACCCTTTAACAGCTGCTATAAACATAACCATAAAACATTAGGATGCCTCAGCTGCCAGGACTGTTATATAGACAGCTATATAGAAGAAAATTAAAACCGTAACCTGTACATTTCAAGTACAGGTAGGTTAAGCCAGTAACCTGCAGTGTTCAGTGTTCAGTTTTTTTAGCCTTCGCCTTCATGAAGTTGGCAGAGATAAACAGCGATGTGAAGCTGAAGGGGAAGAATCAGTTTACAGCCGAGCCAGAAGGTTTACATCCTCCCCGAGGAGAGATGAAAATTTACAGTTTTCAGCAATAATATGGATCGCTGCTGGAAACGCACGCACACCTAACTAATTACACCACACACCTCATCAAGCTCTTCTCATCACACTAACACACCGTAAACATCTGTGCACACACACGCACACATGAGCAAAAACAAACACAAAGATAATTTCATACAGGCAGCACACTGTTTACCACGTGAACACACACACACGCACACACACACACACACACACACACACTATCGTACAATCACAGGCAGTAATGGCACAACACACCCCATTACACAGCGGGCCATCAGTGCACAGCCAATAAAACGCCAGCCTTGAACAGCAGATGTATTAGGACTTATTAGCATGCTATTCAGACAAGAGTTCACCGTAAATCTGTTTATTAATTTATATTGTTTTAATATGAAGTTAATGATGTTTGGGAGAGCTGAGGTCATCTCAATATTCAGTGAAAGGAAGAGTGAGGTAAAAACATGATGTTGTCTGTGGTAAGTCATTAATGTTGTCGTGGTGTGAAACCTCTCATATCTCTTTCATATTGCTTTTCATATTTTCAGATCTTCGTGCTCACACTGACTGTCTCACAGTGATGTCTCATGCGAAGATAATCTATACTGTGAGTCATGGATTTACCATCCGGACTGCGGTTGTGCTCAGTGCCTGGAGAAAATATTATGTTGTTCACCATCTTTGCAACAGTTTTGCTCTTTGATTGGAAAATTGCATCTTCCAGTTCAATAATTGCTGCGTGGATAATGGCTGTCAGCATGACTCAGACTGATAAACACAGCTTTTTTTCCCCCAAAGTTTTGTTTTAGCTGAGCTGATAAAAGGAATTTGGAAAGGAGAATATTTAGAAGAACGTGTAAAACATGATATCAAAAGGACAAATACATGCGGCTCCTCTTGAGACCAAACCTCCCACTGCAGTGATGGGATGTAAACTTTCTGTTGGCTCCAGTCTGTCTGTCATCACGGCTGTTTGCAGGATTCTTTGTGTATGTTTGTGCGTATATCCGGCAAGCATTGCGTGGTGTGTGTGCTGGTATGTGGAGTATAAAGCTTTGAAGCGGCTTTGCAAGCTGTTGACCTCCTCTTATTAGAGGGAAAAGTCAATGGTCTCACTTGACTGGGGATCGATGAGGCACATAAAGGACGTCCAACTCAGGTAAACCGCAGACTGAATCCTAATTCTGTCAGCAGGGAAGGTAGATGTACAACACAGACAGCCCATTGTAGCTGCCCATAAAGATGGAGGGAGAATTAATCGAATAAATGGATATGGATTTTTCTTTTTAGTAGCTGAATAAATAAACAGATGGTTGGATGTGATTACTTTTCTGTGATCACTTTTATAAATAAAAGACACAGTCTTTAGGACGGGTGTGCATGTTTGTCAAAATGCATGTTGGTTTGGAGCAAGATTTGTAAAGAAACCAAGAAGAAGAATTTGTGATCAGGTGACAGCAACGGTAGCAAGAACCTGTGCGATTTGTGCCTGTGTTGGAAAATGCACTGAAGTGAAGTTGTAGGGTTTTAACTGCCAGTTCGGTTTTGTGAATATTCTTTTTTGAGAAGGTGAGCAGAAGAGAAGTTCATCTAATCAAAAATTTTGAAGCTCTCATGATACACGAGAACTTTAAAGTTTAATCAGTAACATGGTTTTGCTCTGTTTTAGAGCTGAACAGTGGTACACATGCTGTTTTTCACAAAAAATAAAAATCACAACAATTATGTAACGTTCATTGTCAAAACATGCAACCCTTCCTTTCTCTGTTTTGTTTGTTGCTGGAAGATGAAAACATTTCTAAGTATTCCATTCAGCATTGCTACGTGTCTCTGCTTCTGACCTCCAGGAATAAATATAATCCACTGTAAACTGGAAATGTATCTTGGCGGCAGTTTCCTTTTGCTGCTAGTTAACTGTAGAGCCTTAATGCTGTCAAACAGAATGCCTAATGTCAGGATCCTCTGAGGCTCTTTAGCTGAATGTAATATTCCTGGGATGTCACATAATGCATGTGGATTCATTGGTCTTCCCTTAATTAAGCCTCGAGTTGATCTCAACTGTGCATCGGTGATAAATCTAGAAAAGAATATCTGTGGAGAGACATGAAATCATTATTGAAGTATTCTACCGTATGTTGCTCTTTCAGCCAGGTAATCAAAAGTTAACTTATACATATTATGATAGTACATATTTTGCTTAAAGATGAGAGGCTTTTACTTGTGTCTAGTGGTGATTTATTTCACTTTGTGTGCTTCTTGTTCTGCCTGAGGCTCGAAACTTCCTTTTTTTTGTCATTAGTGTGTGTGTGCATGTGTGCGAGAACAGTAGCAGGTGTTGAGAGACTGAGAGGAAAGCTCGATGACTCATGTCCCATGGTGCAGGAACCTGTCACTGCTGCCATTGTCAGTCTCTGTTCCCCACCGCCCCACTCTGACATGTCCACAGTGCTCGCTCTCCGGTGTGCATGTGTGTGTGCCAGGACGTGTTGTACAAAAACTTCCACTTCCCGTTCTCCCAGGGATATCACTTGTCCAGCTGCATGCATTTTTAATAATCATAGTGGGCGCATTGCAAAAAAAATAAAAAGAACATTAGCCTAAAGGTCTTTTGTTCAGGAATCTTAAAATATGTGATCTCAGCATAAATTAAGAAAAATCTACAAATTGTATAGATGGCACAGCGGTTTAAGTAAATTTCTATCTTAAAAAAGCGACAACTTAACCTCTTAAGACCTGGCG